AACGAACTCAGTAAAAAGGTGGAGACAGCAAGATAGTAGAAAGCTACCCAGGGCAAAATGTGGGAACTCTTCACTTGCAGTGAAGATACCAAATTTAGACAATACAAAGTGTGTCTGATTTCTCTTGGAAAATGGCAAAACTCATGAGGGCTTGATATGAGCTAGAACCAAAATAGCATGCATGATCGTCCAAGAGCATGGAGGTACCACAGTGTGAGGAGGAACAGGCTGGAAATCCTCTGGAGGGTGCTGACATGTGAGCTGGAGTTGCATGTGACCCAACCCAGTATCTAGGCTACAACATCATAAGATGGTATGGACTCCACTCAATTTTTTCTTAATAACTTTATGTTTGTGGAGTAGTTTTAGGTTCACAACATAACTGAGAGGAAGACCCAATGATATCCCACACAACTCCTACCCCAACACAGGCACGGTCTCCCCCATTATCAATATCCTCTTGAATGTTTATAAGTTGACTAGTCTCAATGGCCCACGGCCTTTTTTCTTCCTTTCTTCATGAAGTTCCAGATTCTTCAGAATACTCGAATGTACTGAATGTCCTCTTTACAAACACGCGTTATTTTTTCCATATGGGTCACCCTATGAAGGAAGGTGTTACAGGTGAAGAATGTGAGCGCAGAGAAGTAAGTGACTTATCTCCATGTCCATAGCTCATGACTCCATGTTTCTTCCAGTAAACCACACTGCTTCACAGACCTTATTCCACAGTTGTCTTCTGGATGCACAAACAATTCCTGATTTCACTTCCTTTTCCTTTAATACTATGCCTGAGGCTTTCTCCTTGTCTTGGTCAACACTCTCTGGCATGATGAATAGAGAGCCTTGTGTAACAGTGTTGTAACCTGACAAGTGCAAAGGGTACAGGTGCCCTGGTTGCCACAACAAAAGGTGAAAAGGCACAGTTGGCTCTGCCCACTGGCTCACTAAGTCATAAGTTCCTCTTGGTATCCCTGAGGCTACCTCCAGCTCCTGGAGCATGGATAATGCTCCCACTACATAAATCATTCCTACGGAGGGTGGACAGATAGCAGGCAATTCAATAAGTGTTCTTGATTTGTTCATAGTATTTTTATATAATTAATATGGCTCATTGGGGTGGAGAGAATGAGAAATACAGGACAAGTTCTCTGTGGTTTCACTCTCTGAGTTTGGATAGAGTATCAGGGCAGGAGAAAGTCTAGTTCTGGGACTTTGAACAGCAATTTCTGACCACGTCTGCCACAACCTCATTGTATAGGTGAGTGAATCTTGAAGGCAAGGAAGAAGAATTTGCCTGGGGTCATACAACTCCTTGGTGTGACAAGGGAAATTGGTTTCTACTTTCGCAAAAAACACTCTAGGCATTTAAAACAGTCTCTCATCTCTGCTACCACATGACTACAATTAAGATTCCTGTTATTTAATTTCTCCCAAAAGGAGCTATGATAAGAACTGATAGAAGAGGAACTCTGGGCAAAGGCTACCAGAATGAACTAGCTATGCACCATGTCTGAACAGTGTAGAGTAGAAGGTATGGCCTTAAATATGTTTCTATGGCTGGTTTGACAATGTATCTGGATTGTCAGTGGATAAGAATGCAGCTGAAGCTCTGTTGGTGTCCAGCCATGTTTTATCCACATCTTCCAGTCCCCAGCCCTGGCCTCAAGGTAATGGAGGAACTAGAGAATATCCTCCAGTCCTCTCATAAACCCCTTCTCAAAGTAACTTCAGCTTAAAAGCAGCACACTTATAAATGCTATGAGCAATAGGGCCTTACTGAGTCCTAAGTCCAAGACTGCCAGTGCCAATGGCTAGCAGTCTCTGCACTGGAATAGTTAACATAGGCTTTATCCAAAGGGAGACTGTTCACTCCTCAATAAATGTTTTCCAATGAATGACCGTGCTTGACATGAGGCTCCATCAGGAAGACACAGAGCTGAACTATGGCTGCCCTCAATAAGTATGTGAGGCACACAGCAAACAGGCACTCACACAGGTCAGCTCAAGATAAGCACCTACAATAGATCAGGTAAAATTTGAGGCCCTGTGTGATTCTGGGTGCCACGGTGGCTAAGAATAAATCCAGCCCCCACTACTTGAGAGATAGTTCAACAAAAAAGCACAGTGTTTACTTAAGGAAAGAAGTCTGCCCAGGAAGCTGGGAGAACTCTGCAAAGAGAGATCTAATGCGAGCGTTGGTTGATCAAAGTCATTGTGGCACTGAGAAAGTTCTGGAACATCACCAAATAGACTGAGACAGTAAAGGTCCTGTTTTACACTTTGGCTTCAGTTGGTAAGCCAGATTAGCTGCAAATCACATAACCTGTCAAGCCAGGTGCTAAGAGTTTGGGGAAGGGACATGGGAATTTGAGGGGAAAGTTTTGGCTGTACTAACCACAGGAGCAGTTTTACCAGACTTTGTCGGCTATGCTGGAGCCTCTGCCCAAGATTCCCACAGGTTTTATCTCTGTTTATCAGAAAGGCCTTTCCCAGAAAGGACCCTAAACTAATTCAGCCTGATGTTGCACCAACTGGTAATAGCAGGGTTTTGTAGAGCTGACTGAGGCTAAGAATCACCTAGTGTCATTCCTAATTGTATGAGAGTACCTTTAAAAGCTCATGGGAAAATGAAATTGAACGATGCCTCCTTTTGTAAAAGGCAATAGTCCATGCAGTTTGTGTGTTAATATTTTTTCATGATCTTTTTAAAGACTCCTGTATGCATGAATTCCAAAATTTTTCACAACAAAATAAACATATATTTTTATTCTGTTTTCATGATTGTTTGAAGTTCCCTCATACTACCAGTCTTGTATTTCTCCTGGAAATTTGTGGTCAATAGATTCGGGATATGGCCTGGGAATCTGTTTTTAACAAGGGCTCTAGGTGATTTTTATCCCAAGGAAAAACTGGAAGAACAAGGTATAAAGCATGATCCCTAGGATTTTTTCAATAAAGCCTTCTATTTCTAAACTGGAAACTCAAACATGTATGTCTAGGCAGTACTGTGTCAAGGTTTTTAAAAAAAATGTAATAATAAAATAGATATTATGTTTGAAGAGCATCCTATAACTTCCATTATATATACCACATACCTTACCTCCGTTAGAACCTCATAAGAGCCTGGTAAACTGGCTAAATGGGTAGGGCAACAATCCTTGTGCCCACTTTAGCGACGAGGAAAATCAACAACAGTGTGCTTGTAATGTAATTGAAGAGAAAGCTAATGTACCTTAAATGATGCTGGATCCACATAAAGATGCCCACTTTCACAGAAGAATACTTTACAACACAGACAATGGACAAAGTATGAAGAGATGCAGAGCCCAAGGGTACCTTGAAGTAAACTGGAGTCAAACACCTCTCAAAGCTAGGAGCTATGTCTGTGTCTGAAAACTCAGTTAATTCCTATGGCATCATGCAATTTTTCTGCACTGAATTCTCATGAGATCAGTACCAGTTACATTTTTCACAAGTGCATATTTTACCTCAAACCAGTCTGACCAGCATGGGAAGTACCAGCTTTGGTCCTTTTGCAATACCCTGCTACCTAACCAGTTTCTGTTTGCCAAAGTGACACATTGGGCCAGGTGAAGATGGAGATGTTGTTCTCTGAGGCCTTGCCTAAGATCCTCTCCAAGCCTACGGAAGGTCTCAGATGAAGCAGACGTGAAAGATTTCATTTCTTTGAATTGCATTCATTTCTTTTGGGGATCAGACATTACAGTGGCAGGTGTGAGCTGGCTAAAAGGAATTCATGGTATAGGTAGGAAAGAACAGAAGACATAACCATGACTAGTGAGTACCTAGGCCAGAAGAATGACAAAGCAAAAGAAGCAACATTCTATGGTGATAAAGCAGCCAGAGAAGGGTATTATGAACTGAGACAATCAGCGAGTAACAATATCAGCGGCCAGAGCCTAAGGCAGGTCTACTGGTAGCCCATTGCTGGGGTAGCAAATCAGAGACTTTTTTGAGATTTACACTTGTGGAGAGGGGAGCTGTGGATGCTGCCCGTTACTCTGCCTTTCTGAAGGTCATTAAGACTTAATTTTGAAAATTCCATCTTTAATAATACTCCAAGGTGGACCAGCGCCATGGCTAACTTGGTTAATCCTCTGCCTGCGGCGCCGGCATCCCATATGGACGCCGGTTCTAGTCCTGGTTGCTCCTCTTCCAGTCCAGCTCTCTGCTGTGCCCTGGGAAAGCAGTAGAAGATGGCCCAGGTGCTTGGGCCCTGCACCCACATGGGAGCACCTGGCTCCTGGCTTCAGATCACTGTAGCTCCAGCTGTAGTGGCCATTGGGGGAGTGAACCAACGGAAGAAAGATCTTTCTCTCTGTCTCTCTCACTGTCTATAACTCTACCTGTCAAATAAATTTAAAAAAATAGTAATAATAATACTCCAAGGTGCCTATGGAAGTTACTGACTGTGGGACCTCCTTTCAAGGGGGTGCATTTGAGGCAACTGGTGCTGGCTGAGTTGTCTCAGGATCTGCTGCTGTCTTGCAGGAATTACCAAGTGTATTGAGCACATCGGAGGAGGATTGCAGAGGCACTTGTATAGGGTGATGAGGTTTGAAGCAGAAGAGTAACAGTCAGAGCCACACTTCAGACAGAGCTTCTGGCTACTACCTGGAAAACGGTTTAGACAGCAAAGAGTGGCAGGCAGAGTTCAAACGGGAAGCTAAAAAGTCCTGGAGCCCACGGCCACTGAGACAAGTCACAGAGATACAATCCACAAACCTCGAGCACTCATGGTGGCATGAGGGAGCGGTTTGGGGATGTGAGGGAAGAAATCAACTGCAAAATAAGAGCTCTGTGTGACACTCCAGTTTCCCCCAGGGGGCTGCAGGAGGGAAAGGGCAAATCAGAGGACGGAGAAGGAAGAGATTTGGAGCCCAGAGAAGAAAGAAACCAGGCAGCAACACCGAGGCCCCGCCCCCAGACCTGGCCCCGCCCTGGCTCCGCCTCTTCTTCCTTCCTCTTCCCACCCACCTTTCAGCCACAGCTCATCCTCGAGGGCGGGGAGAGGTGGCATTTGAGTCCTCCGGTATCCCAGCAGGCAGTGCAGCCTGGAGACGCTGACAAAGGAGCGGAGGAGCAGTCGCAGCTGCTTTCCGAGGAGCTAGTGTTGCCGAGGTGAGAGTCCCCCACCGTCCCGTCACCCACTTCCTCCGTCTTCGGGAAGACGTGGAAGTTACGTGGCCGAGAACCCCCGCGGCAAGAATGACCCATACCCAAGCGGGAGCTTGGCTGTGTGACTGACAGCTGGGCTGCGAGGCGCCGGACTGCGGTGGGCGGTGGGGAGGAGGCGCTGGGTTGCTTTTCTGCCCCATCTCCGACTGTCAGCGGCCCTGCCGCCAGTGGCTGCCCGCCGCAGGCTCTGATCAGCTAGTGTGTGGCTCGTTCTTGCCCGAACGAAGGCAGGCTCGGGAGCTTCCCGGTGCCTGCCCCGCGGAGCTCGGTTGCCCCGGGGATGCGGCTCCTGGGACAACTCTTCCGCGGACTTGAGAGGAGGGCTTGGGGCGGGAGATTGATTCCCAGTCCAGGGTGACACCGTCCTCGCCCTTCCTCCAGCCTAACAGCCCGCCACAGACATACACTCACACACATCCCCCCCTCCCGCGAGCAACTGGAAGGAAATCGCCGGGGCTGGGAGCGAGGCGTCCCGGGATGGCTTCAGCTCTGCTCTCCGCCTGGAGGGAGATTAGAGTAGGTTGGACAGGCGGGAGGCGGGAGGGGGGAGGGGGGAAGCGAATGCCTTCTCGGAATAATGAGGGGGAGGTGTGGGGGGTACGTGGCCTGTTCTTCCCCTCCCTGGACCTCCGCACGGATCCTGATGGTTGCACCAGCTGCTCGGCTGTAAACAGGCTCACATGACCGGTTTCACATGGAGTGAGCCGCCGGAGTGGGGACGAGGGCTGAACGGCTGGGCCCCAGTCAGATGGAGCAGAAGTCCTGGGACGGACCGTTTTAGACTTCCTCCCCGATCCTCCAGGCCCTGATCAGTGTTCTGCGATTTCTCCTTCGGGGAAAGTTACTGTTATCTCTGTCCTGCCCGGACTGCAGGAGCCTTTCCACCCTCGTGGAATCGAAGGAGGCTAACGTCGAGGGGAGAGCAAATAGTGAATGAAAATGGTCCTGGCTTTTTGACCTTTGGGGGAGATCAGAAAAGAACAGAAACCTGCAAAATTGGGCCCTTTGGGTCTTGCCTAAAGAGCAGTCCTGTCGGAATTCACTGCACTCCAAATGAGAATTCCAGACAAAAGGGGAAAAGTGTGCTTTTTTCAGGCAAGGCACACATGGGGCTTAAAATATTCTCGCTGATGAAGATCTTGTCCACACTTCCTCTAAGTACTGGGAAATCTTTTTGCCTATAAAGTATTATATTCAGGTTGTTGAATAGGCGGTGAACACCAGCTTTTAGATGATATGTATATTTGAGTGTACAGCAGTGGAAAGTTTGGAAAACAGGAAACAGGGCCAAATGTGACTTTCAACTTGTTCATATCTACATATCCAAACAGGATGCAAGATTAAACTAGTTTCTGAAACATTTCTGGAACCGTTAAAACAACAGTGGTTTACTCCAATGCCAGGATATGTGAAATTTGGGGTTTTTTTAAATCCATGAGGAGTAGTTGTGATAGATTCCCTTCACATTATAAGCAAATGTTAACAGGCAGTATAAAGCTATCCCTTTGCAGACAAGGATAGGATATGGAACACATAGCTTACAAAATAATGTGTTTTTTCCTTGAATTGTCTATGCACATTTTCTCAGAATTGTTATTAAATATTTTTTTTCTCACAGGGCTTTTACATTTAAGTTCATTTTCTGAAAACATAAAACAAGTAACTGCAAGAAAAAAGTTACCCCATTCCTTAACAGCCAATTAAGTAATGTGCTACTATTCTTTTTCTGTTTTTTTTTTTTTTTAAGTTTAAGGTGAAGAATAGAGATACTTTAAATCTGGCCTAAAACTTAACAGAGGGCAGATTAGTAGTATGGCTGTAAATTTTGTTTTGCCACCTTGAGACATTCTGGAGAATCTTGCCCTACAATAAATATACTAAAAACTTATTCTTGGAGACCCCCAATTTCTTCCTACTGTGAAGATTTTGTTTTAAATCTCCAAGGTCCCCTATTGCTCTAAAATTGCATAAGAGTACCATTTTTGATTAAGAATTGTTCTTGGACAAAATAAGTTGGTAAATAAGCCAAGATACGGATATCAGTCAAAAGAAGATGCAGTCACAAGAGGCATGCAGAGTTGTAAAGAAATAGGACTCTCACCCTACAAAATTCTCATGAGGTAAATTAGCCATTCAGAAATTGAAGATGGCCTCAGCTAAATTCCTGCCTCCAAAATTAGAAATAACAGCTCCACTCGACTCTCTTGACCTTCAGGGCATAGTACAAATCTGATTCTTTCACTCAATTCCAGCTTCCTGAATTAAGCAGGCTCTGCGATGAGTGATAAAGGTAGACTAAAAAGAAGGGCTTAGTAGGGTCTCACTTTGGCAGGACCCTGGTTGGATCACCAGAACCAATGTCTGGGTTTTAGCTTTGAGGGGTTCAGATTTTAATTTTGTCAGCACTTCCAGAAATGATCAGTCCCGGGGATTGGTTGATACCAAACTCAGAAAAGATTTCTGTTAATATGCCAGTCTACTAAGTTAGAGAGAAGTACAGTTGCCAAGCAGACAGGAGACTTGTACACACCACAGCACCCTTTGATCTTCACTCTATGGAAACCCATAGAGATTGTTCTTCACCTCCCCTTTGAATTAGGGCCTACGCAGACTACTTCATTCAAACTTAGCAATTGACGTATTCAGCAAGATTGCAGCTGTCCTTTCTACAAAAACCATTTCAGTCACACCGTTGTAGCAATATATCCTAGGCGCCGGATTGAACCTGGGTCACCTCTGAAACATCTCTAAAGTCTGTGTCCTCTGCATTCCTGCTGCTTTAACCTAGGCCCTCATGGTCTCTTCATGCCACTTTGATTTAACAGTTACTTATTTTTTAATTACACCTGCTCTGGAGTTAGGGGCTGTGCTTGGTTGGTCAATGACAAGCATTCTCCCCCAGTGTTATCAGGTCACTCCTGTTTAAAATCCTCTCAGAGCTTTCACATCGCCTGCAGGGGTGGCTCTCAGCACTGAGCAGTACACTAGAGAGGGGTGTATTAAGACACTGATGGCTAGGCCTCAATCCCGCAATTTCTGATTCAGTAGGTCTAGGGTAGGAACCAAGAATTTGCAAGGTGAAGCAACAACTTTGCTGGGCACCACGGTTTGAGACCCACTGGCCCAGAAGATCAAGTCTAAACTCCCAAACTTGGCTGACAAGATCTTTCACAACCTGGCCTTCAGTTTATTTTCCCAGCCTTATCTCTTGTCACCCTACTCCCACCCCACCCCTCACCCAGGCATGCTATTTTTTTTAACAAATGCAATGCCAAAGCCCATTTTAAGTGTCCCTTTCCTGCCTCTATACATATGAAGGAACTTACAAAAGTTCGTGGAAAATGGGATTAAAAGAGAAATTTGAGAACGGGTGTTCAGTTTAGCAGTAAAAATGCCTGTGTCCCACATTGGAGTGCCTGGGTTTAGTTCTAGGCGGTGGCTCCTGACTCCAGCTTCCTGCTAGTGTAGACCCTGGTACATAGCAGTGTTGGCTCAAGTAATTGAGCCGGCCACCCATGTCGGAGACCTGATCTGGTCTGAGCTCTTGGTTTCAGCTCAGCCCTGGTATTTGTGGGCATTTGGGGAACTGCATTAATAGAGGAGAATCTTGTCTGTCAGTTTCTCAAATGAATCTTTTTTTAATATTAAAAAAATTATTTTAGTGCAGAAATGTTGAAGTCCATACATAGTTTTCTCATAATATCCATTTCTTTTAAAAAAAAAAGATTTATTTATTTATTTGAAAGGCAGAGTTACACAGAGAGAAAGGAGAGGCAGAGAGAGAGAGAGGTCTTTCATCCACTGGTTCACTCTCCAATTGGCTGCGACAGCCGGAGCTGTGCTGATCCGAAGCCAGGAGCCAGGAGCTTCCTCCAGGTCTTCCCATACAGGTGCAGGGGACCAAGGCCTTGGGCCATCTTCTACTGCCCTCCCAGGCCATAGCAGGGAGCTAGATGGGAAGTGGAGCAGCCGGATCTCAAACCGGCACCCATATGGGATGCCGGTGCTTCAGGCCAGGGCGTTAACCTGCTGCGCCACAGCGCCGGCCCCCATAATATCCACTTCTGTGAACATTTTGAAGTACCCGTGTATTCTTCTTGGAATATACTCTCCCCACACTCCTACTGCAAACTGCTAAAGACGGTTGTCACTTTCTTTATGTTCCCAAAGCACGTGGTATCTACCAGCATTTTAACTTGTCACATCATCTCCTAATTACTGCTGTGTATTTATTTCTTCTGCTAGACTGAGTATCGGAGAACTGAAACAGGGTTTCCATTTTTCCCCTTCATATTTCTTAGCGCTGTGCCTAAATACACTTGTTACAGGTGCTCAGTAAATGTTTGTTGAACAAATTTGCAATTCTAAAACGTCTGAGAGTGCTATATATGCTTTATATAATGGGTTAATGTACGTTTGGCTTTGACAATTGCACATCTTTTTTTTTTTTCTAAAGATTTATTTATTTGAAAGGCAGAGTTACAGAAAGAAAGGTCTTCCATCCACTGGTTTGCTCCCCAAAGGGCCACAATGAGCGGAGCTGGGCCAATCCGAAGCTGAGAGCAAGGAGCTTCTTCCAAGTCTCCCACGTGGGTCCTGGGGCCCAAGAACTTGGGCCATCTTCTACTGCTTCCCCAGGCCATAAGAGGGAGCTGGGTTGGAAGTGGAGCAGCCGGGACTCCAACAGGCGCCCATATGGTGGCCAGTACCGCTGGCAGCACCTTTACCCCCTATGCCACAGCATGGGCTCCAACATACATCCTGAAATAACTGAACACATACTGGGATGTTGTAAATAACATTTATTTTAATAGGATCAGAGTTGGAAATTAACACATTTGGAAAAAAAATAATTTTTAGAAGATGTTACTGTAGTATATTCATTTTTTAAATCCTCAGATATACACTGCGGAATTTTTACATCTTGAATATGGAAAAAAATA